TGTCTAGCTAATTTTTCTATTTTTTTGTAGAGACAGGGTCTCACTCTTGCTCAGGTTGGTCTTGAACTCCTAGGCTCAAGCAATTCTCCTGCCTCGGCCTCCCAGAGTGCTAGGATTACAAGCATGAGCCACTGCACCTGGCCTCTTCTACTGTTTCATTATTTCCCTTTCCTTCTTACTTCTTCACAAAATATAACAACTTGCATAGCATGCTTTTCTTTTTTTAGGGACAGGGTCTCACTCTGTTGCCCAGGCTGGAGTGAAGTTGTGTGATCATAACTCACTGCAGCCTCAAACTCCTGGGCTTAAGCAATCTTCCTGCCTCAGCCTCCCGAGTAGCTGGGACTGCAAGCACCTGCCATCACACCCGGCTAATTTTTTTTATTTTTTGCAGAGATAGTGTCTTGCTGTATTGCTTAGGCTGGTCTTGAACTCCTGGACTCACATAATCCTCCTGCCTCAGCCTCCCAAAGTGCTGGGATTACAAGCACAATCCACCGCACCTGGCCTCAATTGTTAATGTTATCAGATATATGAAAAGAGCTCATTTCACTTAATCTTATAGTTTATCTACATAAATCACTGATCACTGGAAGTAAACCCGTGAGGGAGGCACTGTCATTCTCCATTTTGGGATGGGAAAATTGAGGATCAGAATGTGAAATTTGTTCAAGGTCATACTACTACTAAGTAATAAGAGCAAGGGCTTCAACTCAAATCCTTCTCCTTCAAGCTTTTTTTTGAATTTGAAGGAGTTCAAAGTTCTACAATTGAAGTATACTGATCAATACTGAAGATCGTCCAATCAATCACAGTCTACTACAGAAGACCAAAGAAGCGTGCAAGAGAGATTTTAAGAAACCATCTTTTATTCAATGCTCCCAGGTCTAGGACAGTTCTTCTAGTATTTTGGGATAGGGAAAATTTAGAGATTAATGAAGTTTAAGAAGAAACAGAAAAGAAAAGGATGAGCAAAAGACAGGAATTGGCGGAGTGTGGTGGCTCATGCCTGTAATGTTAGCACTTTGGGAGGCCAAGGTAAAGAGATCACTTTAAAGAGGCCAGGAACTTGAGACTAGCCTGAGCAAAATAGTGAGAACCCCATCTCTACAAAAAATTTAAAAATTAGCCATGCATGGTGATGTACGCCTGTAGTCCCAGCTATGCAGGAGGCTGAGGCAAGAGTATTGCTTTAGTCCAGGAGTTTTGAGGTTACAGTGAGCTACGATGACACCACTGCACTCTAGCCCAGGCAACAAAGGAAGACCATGTCTTCAAACAAACAAACAAACACCCACCCAAAAAAACCACAGGAGTTACAAGAGAATAACAGAAGAGGTAGAGTAAATACCTCAATTTCTCACAGGATACTGAACTGTTTAATGTGTGATTTGTGTACAACGTTTGGCACAAACGTTTGTCTTTTTTATCTTAAATACCACTAATGAAGTGTTAGACTCTTTATATACACATTTGAAAATTAAAAAATGATGAGATTAATGGTTTCTTAGATATGACACCAAAAGCACAAGCAAAATTAAAAATAGGTAAGTTAGACATCATCAAAATTAGAAATTTTTGTGTTCCAAAAGACATGATCGAGAAAGTGAAAAGAAAATTTAGAGAATGGGAGAAAAGTTTTGCAAATCATATATGTGATAAGGGAATTGTATCTAGAATATATAAATTAGATCTACAACTCAATAATAAAAATAACCTAATTAAAAAATAGGCAAAAGATCTGAACGAACATTTCTCCAAAGAAGATGTACAAAAGGCCAATTATGCACATGAAAAGATGTTCAACATTGTGAGCCATCAGGGAAATGCAAATCAAAACCACAATGAGCTATAAATTCATACCCACTAGGATCCCTAGAATCAAAAAGACCAATAAAAACAAGCATTAGCAGGGAGGTGGAGAAATTGGAATCTTTATACACTGATGGTGGTGAATTAATGGTGTAGCCACTTTAGAAAACAGTCTGATGGAAGCTGGGCGCGGTGGCTCACGCCTGTAATCCTAGCTCTCTGGGAGGCTGAGGCGGGCGGATTGTTTGAGCTCAGGAGTTCGAAACCAGCCTGAACAAGAGCGAGACCCCGTCTCTACTAAAAATAGAAAGAAATTAATTGGATAACTAAAAATATATAGAAAAACTAGCCGGCCATGGTGGTGCATGCCTGTAGTCCCAGCTACTCGGGAGGCTGAGGCAGGAGGATCGCTTGAGCCCAGGAGTTTGAGGTTGCTGTGAGCGAGGATGACGCCACGGCACTCTAGCCTGGGCAACACAGTGAGACTCTGTCTCAAAAACAAAAAAAACAAAAAAAACCAGTCTGATGGAAACAGTATTAATGGTGCAGCCACTTTAGAAAACAATCTGACAGTTCTCCAAAAGTTTAAAGAAAGTTATCACATGACCCAGCAATTCCACTTAGATATATACCCAAGAAAAATGAAAATATATGTCCACACAAAAACTTGTGCCTGAATGTTCATAGCAGCATCATTCATAATAGCCAAAAGTTGGAAACAATCCAACTGTCTATTGATTAATGTATGAATAAATAAAGTGTGGCATAACCATACAATGGAATATTATTTGGCAATAAAAGGACATGAAATGCTGATAGGTGCTACAACACAGATGAACCTTAAAAACATCATGCTAAGTGACAGAAACCAGTCACAAAGGATCATATTTTTATGATTTCATTTATACAAAATGTAGAGAAACAGACAAATTTATGAGATAGAAAGTAGATTAGTGGTTACTTAGAACTAGGGAGAAGATGGCACATAGGGAAGTGGGGGCTGAAGGATGTAAGTTTCTTATTGAAATGAAGAATATGTTCTAAAATTGACTGTGGTGATGGCTGCACATATCTATGAATATACTAAAAATCACTGAATTGTATACTTTAAATAGGTGAATTGTATAGTATGTAATTATATCTTGATAAAGCTATCTTTTAAATGATGGGATTATCAGCCTTGTCCTAACTCACTTCTTCACAAGTAGGAACTTTGTTTGCAGAAGCCTGGAGGGCCTCCCATAGTGCAGAATCATGACTCCATGCTAAATTCTCCAAAATCTGTTCTTCAATGCTGTTCAGGTGTTTCACCATGTCCCTTGAGAGACCGTCCTCTGAGCGAATGACCACCTCAATAACCTGGAGAGGAGAAAATTGAGAAGACAATGTGGTTTCAAGCAGTCAATTCAACTCTGGGCTTATTCCTTGACAAAGAACTGATGCCATCTGTGAATCATAATTCTGTGGCTTACTAATATCTTCTAATTTATAAATGAGCTTTAAGGTCTTTAAAATATTTTTCACCCACATTTCTGTTTTTCATGTTTTATTTTATATATGAAAAGTTGTGGCACTGATAGGTGGAAATTGGTCAATAGCCCAACAGTGGT